CTGCAGGAAGGTGGCTCTCCAGGAACAGGGTTGGCCACCCCTGATCTAGTGGGGTAAGTCCCTCAAGCCTAATTAAAAGTCTGAATTGGCAACCAAAAGGTTGAGGATAGCCTCACATGAGCTATACCCAGGGCCGGAGCAAGCTGAACCCCTATGCCCTATGCGCGGATATAACCGAGGACGCGCGGGTGTCGCAGACCTCTATTCTGCCGCCCAATGCGCGGATATAACTGAGGACACGCGGGTGCTGATGGAGGTGTCGCTGATGCGGCCCTCTCTATTCTTGCGTCTATGCGCGAATATATCTGAGGACGTGGGTGGTAAGGGAGGTGCCGCGGACATGACTCAGGACGCGGGTGGTAAAGGAGTTTTCGCAGATGCCGCCCTCTCTATACTGCCGCCTTAGGCTCTGGCTATACCTATGGGCAAGACAATTACCCACAGACTAGGGAATTACCCCTCAAGTTAAAGTGTGTATAAGAAAGAACCAATTGGTCAAAAAATTTCAGGTTTAGCTTGAATCTTGTCTTAAGTGTCTACTAAGGCAGAGGTTCTCAAAGTGGGGGTCGGGACCCCCCCGAGGGGTCGCGGAACAATGAAGGGGGGTCGCCTGGTGATTTTCAAAAATCAATAAATTTTTATGAAACCTTAAGACTTACTATATTTTATCAATAACCTACTGAAGAGAAAAAAATAGTTGTTTATAGTTACTATAAACTAAATAGTTACTATAGTAGCTTATAGTTACTAGATCTATTGGATTGCGACTTCTCGGGTAATTACATTATACTAAAGACAGAGCAATACTGTCAGATGCAGCAGATTTTGTAACACCAGGTTAAACTTTCTAGCCCATTTACAACACTGACATACATAAAAAAACTAAGAATAGACTTGGGTCTATTGGTTTCTGTATTTATAACCACCAACTCAGAGAAAATTGGGGGTCACGAGTCACTGGCATTGTCATTTTGGGGGTCGCGGGCTGAAAAGTTTGGGAACCCCTGTACTAAGGCACTACACCCACCTTTCTCTTTTTCCAGAGGTTTCTCCTCTATGACCGATGACAAACTCTTAGGCATAAAATGGCTCTCCGAGATCTTGGCTCTCTGCTTTACCATCGGTCTGCTGTTTTTGATTCGCTGACTGTATTGCCTGGCCAGTTGGAATACTTTATTTTTCATCTTCTCCATATCTTGAAAGATAAGGTCATCCTCACTGGCAGCCCGTAAAGAGATCATTCTTGGCAGGGGAGGGTGGTTCACCCTGTGGCGCTCTTGAGACTTGTATTCCTCATTTTCTTGAGGAATCTTGGGGATGGGGGACGAGGTAGAACTTTCATCAGACTCCTCCAAGATTATTAACGGTTCCCCGAGTCCACTATCTCTAGTTTCTTCTTTCTTCTCTTGAACAGGTATAGATATTTGGGAGTCATCTAATCCCCTACGTTCTTCTGAAGGCCCAATAATCTCCACTTCCATATCTTGCCACACCCTAACCATGTTTGAGGCCGGCTGGAATTGCTCAGTCCTTTCAGACTCTTTGCCACTTGTTGGAACCACAAAGTCAGAGTTGTCCTTTGCTTTCTTGTCACTATCCGACCCAGGTAGATTAAAGACGGACCATAAAGTAGGCCTTGAAGACCCCCTTCTTTGCAATGGCAAATCTTCATCCACAAAACCATTCAGCTGTTGGCTAAGATTTCGGACTAGACCAGGAGGGATGTACGAAAGACTCTCTCTTCGTTTAATAGCAAAGTTGGCGTCCAGGTGCTCTGCATGCTCATAGTAGTGTTTAATCTTATGTATAAGCAATCTGTCCTTTTTGGAAAGGGTGTCTTGCTTTTTTGGATAACTTTGGTCTGTTTTGGAAGGATTGTCAGGAATGCTGGGTTCTTGAGTCAATTGTGAAAACTCTTGGGATTTAGGATTATTTTCAGGATGCTCAAAGATTCTTCTACTTTCGGATTGAGAAGATGGACAATGCAAGTCAAGCAACTCTTCGACTCCTAAACTACTTTTTCGAGACAGGCTATTGGAATGTTGTTCTGAGATATTTCTTGGCTTGTCCAGCATGTACGAACACAAGTTGCTATCAACTACTGCAGTGTTTTCTTCTACCTCAATCTTCCTTACATCGTTTGATGGAGTCTCTACTTTCTTTTCTTGCATTTCTAGTCTAGCTTTGGATGAGAAATCAACCATGTTCCTCATATTATCTCCATTTTTTTGTCCTCCATTACTTAGGTCTACAATCTCTGCTTCAGTGTGGCATCCTGCCATTACTGTTCCACACATTTCTGCATAATTATCGGATTGGTCCATGTCTGTGTCCTCTGGCTCACTGAGAAGAGAGAAGACCTTTGATGAACTGTGCTCCCTTGTTGCCTACAAAGTGGACAGAGTGAAGAGAGTCATTGCTACAGGAAGCTATGAGGAGGAAAAGATGGGAGGATATGAGGATAATTAAATCATCAACATTTCCCTTGTGGCTAACTGGTCAGGACGAAGCAACATGTATAATTTTGAGAGACAGCAGCTATTAGTATTTAAAGCCCTTGTGTATTACGGTTTCTACACGTTTCACCAAGTCTAATTTTTGAAATTGTAAGACATTTACATTTTGTAAAAATTAAGACATATTACCATTTTAGACCTTTTTAAGACAATTGTGAATGAAATGTCAGACCTACACAGGGCTAAAGGCTAAATATTGTTTTCTAATAACCCAGTTAGGCCAGTGTTAAAGATTTTTTCTTTACCCATCTAAAAAAAAAAAAAAAAACAGCCATATTTTTATATATTTTAGCCATATATTTTAAACAATGTGTCAAAAGGCATAGGTAATTGGAGAAAATAATTGGAATAATAAGAAACCTTAAGACAAATCTTAATTAAACCATATTGGTAACCAGATTTAATAAACACAACTTTAATAGGATGACTTTATGACTACTTGAGTAGCTTTAAGTGGACAATTAAAGAAAATTATAACCTATTTACAATTATTTAAGACCTAAAACACAATATTTCAGTGAATTTCCGACTTTTTAAGGACTCAAATTCAACCTAGCTATTGGCTTTTTAAATGTCCAGATATTCTCACAGCTAATTTGTTTTCATTCATCATTTATATATGTATATACTAAACTATGTATATAGTTATATATGTATATACTGTATATACTCAACAGTGGTTTACTGTTACCCAACACTGTACGCCTTTTACATATATAGCATTGCTTTAAAGTATATAGCATAGCACTACACAGATTTAAAGCAATACTTAACAGTATTATTTGCTATCTCTTGTCAACACTACTGCAATGCACTTTATGCTGGAATTAGCCTACGATCTGCGGACCAACTACTTTCTCAAATGATTTTTTCAGCTTAAAATAATAACCTTTATTTAACCAGGTAAGTCAATTGAGAACCAGTTCTCATATACAACGACGATCTGACCAAGAGGCAACATAAAAAGCAGATACAAAGCAGCAGGGACACAATACAATAACAATCTCAGAGATACAGATAATAAAATAGAAAACCAAGGACAAATAAAAACAAGCACAGTGATCTTGTACTATTAACTGGATTGAGTCTATAAAGGATGATAGTGGAATAATAGTGTTGAGCTTTAAGGTCTGCTGCAGATGATCCCAGTCATGATTCCAGAGTAGCGACCAAATGAAGTGCGAACTTTAGGTGTGCAAATATAAATAAAACTACTAGAGCACAGATTTCCACATGTTTTCTGAATGTCGACTGTAAATATAGTGTAGTTTTCCCAATAAGATTTTTATAAATGAACAGAAAGCAATGAACTTGTCGACGTGATTAAAGAGAAGGCCAATTTAATAAAGAATACAGTTGACAGTGATGAGTATTAAATGGTGCACCAGTAACAAAACCAATTGCTGCATGGTAAATAACATCCAGTTTATGAAGGAGAGTTTCTGAAGCTGATCTGTAAATTAAATTAAAATAACAACTAATGTTCAAATGTCTGATAAATGTTATTGAGTGTACAAATATAATTATTCTGCTAAATATACAGTTGACGTCAGAATTATTAGTCACCCCTATACATTTATTATTTTTTTTAATATTTCCCAAATGATGTTTAACAGATCAAGGAAATTTTCACAGTATGTCTGATAATGTTTTTTCTACTGGAGAAAGTCTTATTTGTTTTATTTCGGCTAGAATAAAAGCAGTTTTTAATTTTTTAAACACCATTTTAAGGTCAATATTATTAGTCCCTTTAAGCTATATTTTTCTGATAATCTACAGAATAAACCATCATTATACAATAACTTGCCTAATTAACCTAATTAATCTAGTTAAGCCTTTAAATGTCACTTTAAGTTGTATAGAAGTGTCTTGAAGAATATCTAGTCTAATATTATTTACTGGCATCATGACAAAGAGAAAATAAATCAGTTATTAGTGATGAGTTATTAAAACTATTATGTTTAGAAATGTGTTGAAAAAATCTGCTCTCCGTTGGACAGAACTTGGGGAAAAAACAAACAGGGGGCTTAATAATTCAGGGGGCTAATAATTCTGACTTTAACTGTATATGGCTTTGCTTCTCTGAACTGATGTATAATGAACTGTTGAATGTACAGTATTTAAGGCAAGCATATTATAAGTAGCAGTAATTAAACCACCTAAAATTAAAAGTAATTCCTTATTTTACTTTTTCAGCAGAAAATGCCAATTATAGTAGCTAATTACACCAAAAACTGGCTGTATAACATGGATGAGTCCAACAATGGTGAAGGTTTTTACTTGGGTGAGAATTCTTTTTAGCAATTTGGTGCTTTATTGACAGATTATATAGACGAGATTAAAATATAATAATAATAATAATAATTCCTTACATTTATATAGCGCTTTTCTGGGCACTCAAAGTGCTTTACACATTGGGGGGGATCTCCTCATCCACCAGCAGTGTGCAGCATCCACCTGAATGACGTGACGGCAGCCATTTTGCGCCAGACCGCACACCACACACCAGCTGATTGGTGGAGAGGAGACTGATTAAGCCAATTATGATATGGGGAGGGTTAGGAGGCCATGACGGACAGAGGCCAGTGGGCAAATTTGATCAGGATGCCGGGGTTAAACCCCTACTCTTTTTCGAAGGACATCCTGGGATTTTTAACGACCACAGAGAGTCGGGACCTCGGTTTAACGTCTCACCTGAAAGACGGCGCTCACTGAGCAGTATAGAGTCCCCGTCACTATACTGGGGCATTAGAACTCACACACAGACCGCAGGTTGGGCGCCCCCTGCTGGCCTCACTAACACCACTTCCAACAGCAACCTAGCTTTCCCATGTGGTCTCCCATCCAGGTACTGACCGGGCGCAGCCCTGCTTAGCTTCAGTGGGCGACCATGTGAGAGTTGCAGAGAGCTAGCTGCCGGCAGATATTGGATACTAAACTATCTGTAAATATTACTCAATACCTTTCTATATGACTGCAGATCATTTAATCTGATCTGATGAAGCTCACAAACACTTAAATGTTCAATTTGATGACAGCCAAAGCAGAACATTACTCATAATATAAGACGTTACCTGTCCGAAGACAATCAGTGATTCTTCGCTGTTGTCTTCATGCTTTTCTTCAGGTGTTTTTCCACTCTTATTCATTGACCAGTTCTCCCAACAACCTTCTCTATCCTTTAAGGACACAGTACAGAAAATTACAGCTGATCAGCAGACGTTACAGTTCTACACAATTGTCATTTATTCTAGGCGCACTTCAGCAATGTTTCAACCTTTCACAAACATTTGCAATTCATTTAAAAGCATCCATGCACTTCAATGTCTTTCCACAGACAACTGACCTTCAGAAATTGCTTTTGTGTGTCATCAAACAAAGCACAATAAAACGGGAACCTTTGTTTCATTTAATTACAGAAGGCAAGCCATCCGACCTCCACCCCCAAAATTTGACAGTTAAATTTCCTTTTGAAGTCGAACTTCAATCAGAAAACACTTTGAGACAGCCGACGTCCCGTATCATTATGCATTAGGTGTTAATACACCCGTAACGTGCTGTAAATTCCAAAATCATGTCAACAATGCACTGTACAGCATCGTTTTGCAATATAACGCTAACATAACCTGCCATTATTATTGAATGCTTTGAGTTGTTAAAACTTTTAACAATAACAATATTATGATCTCTAATAAAGCACGTCTATAAATTGAGTTTATGATTATTTTAAATATTTGTTTATGTCACAGATTTTTTATATTTGTCACAACTAATGGCGAAAAAACTATTTTAAAGGTGCTGTATGTCCGTTTTTGACAGTTGTAAAGCATAAAAATACCATCATATGTTTGCTGATATTTAAGAAACATGTTCACTGAGCATGTTTCTTAAATTATGGTATTGTTAGGCTTTAGAAGAGTCAAAAACTCACACACAGCACCTTTAATATATTGTATAACTACTAAAATAAAAGAGCAAAACACAGAACTGTGACCCTGGACCACAAAACCAGTCATAAGTTTAATTTTTTGAAAACTGAGATTTACACCTCAGCAGAAAACTAAATAAATGTGCTTTTTTATTGATGTGTGGTTTATATTTGGCTGAGATGCAACTATTAGAAAATCTGCAATCTGAGGGATCAAAAATCTAAATATTGAGAAAAAAAAATCACCTTTACAGCTCTTAACAATGCTTACTACCAATCTACTACTACAAAAATGAGTCGTATATTCATAAAAGAAAAATATGATCATAAACAAATAGTCTGATTCATTAGACTATTGGGCTGATAAACGCTTAAAGAGCCCATATTATGGGTTTTTGAAAATTCCCCTCCATGTAGTGTGTAACACAGCTCTAAGTGAAGTGAAGTATCCAGCTAAGGCTTAAATCTGTAAGTGTACAGTGTTTAAAACTGTTGATTCATCTATAAAAGAGTCGACTCATAGTGCTTCAAACGAGTCGCCTTGATAACGAGTCATTAGGTGTTTCGCCATGACGTACGAACGAAACCGAGTTATTCACGTGCACACGCAAACCCGGGAGATTTCAAACATGAGGCCCCGCCCTCTGACGCAGAAACCCAGACACACACACACCCACAAACATGCCGGTCGATTGAAGTCACACTGCAGATGGATATTATATCGAGTCTCTACCCAAAGATGTAACCCCAGCATTATAGCCAAGCAGTAGAAAACTTCCTGACACTACATGCTACAAAGAATACTTCATCTGCGTTTGTTACAGGAAGGATCAGTAAAGAGTAACTTGTCAGGATGGGTTTCTTCCTCCATTTCTCAAGTGTAAGTATGTGCGATTAAAGTTGCCTCGTTTACTCTAGCTTGCAAATGTATTTAGTTGTGATTTGTTACTTGTAACCGCGTGTACTGTATCAGGTTAACTCGCTTTATTCTCATATCGCGTACAAAATCACGTTAAAAACGCGACGCGTGCTGCTTTGTTTACGGAGCTCCGTGGAGGAGGGTAGTGTGTGTATGCGCGCGATGTCGTCTGGAGGTGGTTGTGTGTGTTTGTGTGTGTATGCGCGCGTGTTGTCGTCCGGTGGAGGGTTAAGTGTTTGTGTGTGTGCACGTGCGCAAGGACGAGGGCAATATGTGTGTGTGTGTGTAAAAAGAGCAGAGTGAGACAAGCTAGGAGATCTCCTCAACAGTTTTTAGAGTTTTTGCTCACTAAAATAGTCAGTCGTCTGTATTTTATAGTCCATCGTCTCTATTTACATTCCTCCACTGGCAGCTAAACTCCACGCCTTACACTATCGAGCGAGTATGCACTGTGACTACTTTTATAATGTTGATTAGCTGCTGGGCATTTCACTCTGTCTTGCGCTGAAGGCAGTCAGTATCGACTAATCGCAACAGACTGTCATCGGTCTAATCAGCGCAGATTAGCTTGGCGCTAAGCAGGGGTTTGGGAACAAATGAATCACTGGACGATTCATACGGGAGTCGCTGGAATAATTAGGTAAAAATAAATGCAGATTATAAGACCATGAAAGTGTTTTTTGACCTTACATGCATATTACACTGCTGTTGGAGACCCTTACAACCAAGATATGATCCTATTTCATGTATAATATGGGCTCTCACTTCTATACCCCTCACTGCACACCATCAATATGTAGCATGCACTGCACTTTAACCAATCCATACTTAAAACAACACTGCCTACAAATATGTGTTTCGTAATTCGACTTGATCATCGCTTAATGATTTCCGGCATGAAAGAAAAATCGATTTCCTGATTTTTGCATTTGCATTCTTTTGCATTTCTTGATTCTTGAAAATGTATTTGACCCAATGCATTTTTGGTTTTAACCAGAAATATATATCTGTGCAATTTAAGACTGGTTTTGTGCTCCAGGGTCACGTTTCAGCATTATTAATGGCCAAGCATGCAGACAGGTCAGATTTCAGCCCATGCAGAAATTCATGCACTGTTGCATCAGAAGAAAATGCAGATGAAATGTAAATAAAAGCAGAAATCAGTCTCAGCGTGTAGAAATGTGAGAGTTATAGATCAGGGCCTGTATTCACAAAACATTTGATCTCAGCACTTAGTAAACGTTCTTCTAAACAGTTTTAGCTCAGAGTTTTCTCTTAAAGCTGTTCATGAGGACAAGGCCTGCACAATACATCACAAGATTATAGTTATCACTATAATAGTTTATACAACAGTTCTGTCTGGTTCTCGAATCTGATTGGCTGATAGCCGTGTGATATTCTGCAATATCAGCACTCATACAGCCTCTTTACTCCTTTGTATTACTCTGCCCACATAGAGTGACAGCAGATCCATATTGCAGCTGTTGGACAACATAATGTACTTAAGAGGCTTTTTTAGGCGAGAATGTAGTTTAGATTGCAACTATGCAGTTCATTTATAAGGATAGTGCCGGTTTTAAATATTTATAATTTCTGAGAGACAACGCGTAGGCGGCCATCAGCCTTTCAAACTGACGTTCCGCCACAAGATGGCGACAGAGACCGCATAGTAAGTCCATAGGGGAGAAAAACTCAGCATACATTTCAAACCACAGCTGATCAAATCATTATATAACAGATACGTGACTTTCTAAGTCGATCTCTCTGTTTTAGGGTCTCCACCAATCAGCTGGTGTGTGGTGTGCGGTCTGGTGCAAAATGGCTGCTGTCGCATCATTCAGGTGGTTGCTCACACTGGTGGTGGATGGGAAGATTCCCCCCAATGTGTAAAGCGCTGTCTAGAAAAGCGCTATATAAATGTAAGGAAATATTATTTTAATTATTATTACTATTTTTGTGATTTCCTGATTGCAGCAAAGAAATACTGGAAAATCTCTGTAGAGTGATGGCAGACTACAGTCTACCGTTCAGACTTATAGGGCCCTATCATACACCCGGCGCAATGTGGTGCAAGGCACAGCGCAAGAGTGGTTTTGAGGCGTTGCGCTACGCTGTTTAAATAGCAAATGCATTAGCGCTCATATGTGCGCCCATAGGCGTTCTGGTGTAAAAAGGAAGGCGTTCTGAGGCGCGTTGCTATTTCGAGAAACTACTGTATAATAGATTTTTCATTAGACCAAAACAAACCCGGTCTAAACTCCAGCGCAGAGTTGTGCCTCGCTTACACACTGCTTAATACGCACAAAAGAGCAATAGGCAAACATCTTTACATTTGAAAAAATGTAAATATTAAGGATTTATATAGGATATAATAAGAATAGATATAGAATATAAATATAAAGGATTAAAATATTACAAAACATAATATTTTCTAGCCTACATAAATATGAAAAATCACTGCTTTTATGTCTTCTTCATCTCGGGAGGCTTTTTCAGTTCATTCATAACAATTTGCTTTTGTATAATGTTATTATTATTAGCAGTATTATTTATTATATCCATATTTATATTTGCTTTATTAAAAACAGGCTTGGATTTGCCCACCTGTCAGGTTTTAGACCATATGGGGCACAGCATGTGTTTTAGGATATATCTCAGGTTTTTGAGCACATTTTGTTATTATTGTTCATTTATTAGTTTGCTGGAAATTAGAACTGAATTTAGAAATAGTTTTGAAACGAATATTTGCACTTAACAAACAAAAGTATTTATTTACAGACTAATTGATGTCTGTGCGTAAAGGTTTCCCTATCCAAGAGCCAAAGTGAAAGTGATCCATTATCTCTCATTCTCACGCAGTAGATGCTCTGTTTAACAGTTTTCTGTTAAAAAACTATCAACTGTGAACTGTTTGCTTGTGAAATGCTCATTTTTTCCACTTAGACTTACTTTGCATCCTGTAAATAGTGAATGCGCTCTTGGCGCGACGCAGCTAGGTCTTAAAGGGAATGGGAGATGAGACTCTAATTGGTTTATTCTCAAAACACACCTATAACTCATTAAGAAAATAAACTCAATCCTTTTAGACCATGCGCCACGGCGCAAAGCAGATTTTCCCGTACTTAAATTAGCAAAAATGCGTTCTGACACGCCCTGAAAGCATTTGCGCCCTGCGTTTTGCGCTCTGCGCATGGACCGTCAAAATAGAGCCCATAATCTTAAAATGTGAGCAAAATCAGCTGTCTTGTCATCACTTTAGACATTACGCTAGAGAATCATTTAAACACTAGCTCTAAAGTGACGTTGGTGAATGAGTAACGGTTTCTGCTGTTCTGACGTCAGCTGCAGATGTTAATGAACGGTGGTAGAAAGTAGTTCCTCATACAAAAGAATTTGAGACTCTCCGTGCTTGATTTCCTTTTTTATATACACGATTATGCCATCGAACTGTTGTATAAATGCAATATCCCACCTCGCGACAAACGAGATATTTGATTCGAGGAGCTGCTCTAAGCGTGTATTTTTCATGCAATGTTTGATACCGCACGGCGAATGAGAGAAAAAAACCCTCCGCATTTCCCGGAAACTTAGATGCACACGGCAGGTAGCGTCAGAAAGCCGCGTGTGTTATTCCGGTCACAAAATGCGGTGAAAACCCTACACGAGGTTAAAGTTTGGTTGTGGTGCTAACATGTTTACACTCGGTGCAATAGTTAACTTAGTTCGATACGAACAAACTGAATAAACAAAGAGCACTGGTCGCTCACTCACCAAATCTGTAGAGACAGGACAATCACCAGCAACTAGAGCCGCGTCTTTATTAAGAGGAGACTACAAGCGAATCCGGATCTCAGCGTTTGCAGATGAGAACAGCTCTCAGGTAAACAATAATCCTCCTTAGACACGTAAGTTATTGTTGTGGAGCGTCGCGTACACTGTTAATCCACACGTGACTCCAGCTACGCTCTCACAGAGAGAAAATGAAAACAAAACTTCACTGCAGCAAACTATAAAAGCAACACTTCACGCTTGTTTTGCCAACACAACGTGGCGTCTCTGCCGTCTAAACACGGTGACAGTAATGAATATTAATGAAGTTGCACAATAGAGCGCGCTGATTGGTTTGAACCAAGCTTTACTCATGCATTAATGCAGCACACTGTAAGACGTAATAAGACACACTCTGACACAGACGTCCAGTCTGCACGCTGGAATACACGCTATTATCTCATGACCGTGACGCAGCTTCAAAAATTCGTTTCAAACCAGAAGTACGAATTTGCTTGAAATAACGCAAAAACAACCAATTTACACTTTTTAGTGAAATATAGGTGTCCTAATAGTGTTTTTAGCAGTGTGGGACACATACACAACTGTCAACAGCTCAACACATGTGTTCTGGTGTTTCGTGACCCTTTAAGCTTCATAAAAAGCCTCGCGGGCCGCCACAAAACTGATTGCGGGCAGCAGATGGCCTGCAGGCCATAGTTTGGACACCCCTACCTTAGCCCTACGCCTTTAAGCTAAAGAGAATTGGGACACCCTTACCCCTTGGTATGAATACGCAAAATGAGGGGTAGGGGTAAAAGGAAGGGCTAAGGGGTAGAATTGGGATTGGGCCTAAGGCACTCGGCCTGCAGCCTTCAAGCCAGCGAACACCTCCCACCAGTGCATGGTTCAGGATCTGTAGAGCTGCGCATCGATGGATTTGCTCTTCAGTGTTTGAATTGAATTTAATATAAAGAGTGGCTTAAAACGGTCGTAATATGACAATAATATTGTTTAATGCAATATATTCTGATGCAATTTATCCTACAACAAAACACAGATATCATGACAGGCCTGAAGTGTGTTGCTTGATTTGAATTAAAGATTAATCATGATTAATCGCATCAAAAATAAAGTGTGTGCTGTAAATTCTCCCAAATCTGCTTTACTTCTTCGGATGTTTTGTGAATACGGCACCTGCGGAAATAAGCGCTCAGTGGCTGAATCTCACCGTTGTGACGTGATCAGAAAGCAAAGCCTTGGCTCTATAGCGCCAGCAGGAGATAGCGGCCATTACGGAACTGGCAAAATCTGCTACCTGCTCATTTCCCATCAGCCCCTGCTCTTCATTTCCCATCAGCCCCTGCTC